CGAATTAATTTTAGGCCAAAGGCATCAGACTAGAAGCAAAATTAATTTCAAATGGCAATAATAAAATATAAATTAAATGCCGAAATTATGTATATGAATTTACAAGGACATATATATGTATTTACATACATCTATATATATAGATGTACATCTCATTATCGATCTGTTTGTCGCTCTGCAAGCATTTAGTTAGTGTGTGTGTGTGAACTTTGGTTAGCCCGAAAACTTTTATAACATGCATTTATTTTGGCCCATTTGGCTATGTACTTTACCATTAACATTGAGGTGGGTATTACGGATAAATCCACAGCGGGTATTGAAGTTAACAAACCACTTGGATACTTTTTCATGCGGCTCGGGAAAAATGTTGATTCCACGCCCTGTTTTGTATGTGTGTGTGAATGGCAGTTGTTGTAGCACAGACTTCGTATAGTTTTATATACTTATGATAGAGATGCAGTCACACACTAATTCAGATACACAGGCACACATATATACACACACACACACACACACACATAGACAGATAGCAAATGGCGCCCATGGTTTTGGAAAATTTATTTGGCACAAACGCAAAAAGCCAAAAACGAACTTTTCGGCCCCTTTGGACTCTCTAGCCTGCAATTTGCAAGCGAATGCCTGATGCCAGCGCACTGCTGCTGGTGCTCGTGCTGCTATTGCTCTTAGCTCCCTGCTGTTTTCGGTTGCTAGCTTTTATTTCCTGCGCCCAGTTTGTCAGTTTGTCCAGCTGTCCGTCTGTCCGCTTCAGAGTGTTGTTTTGCTGCCTGGGAAATGCCAAGGCAAAACTTTGGCATGTTCATAAATTCATTAATTTGTTGCTTTTGTTCTTGTTCTTGTTGTTGTTATTTTGGGTGTGCTTTTTTTTCGTTGTTGTTGCTGTTGGCTCTGCTGGATGCGCATTTGTTGCAACCACATTTGATTTATTGAATTATGGTTGCTAGGCAGTCATAAAAGGCCGCTTGAAAGCTTTGATAATTAATTATGAAATTAACTGCGGCACGCATCCATTTATAGCCGCATCGATTGTCTCATATATCATATGAAGTTTTTAATTAAACCGATACACTGATTATATTTAGTTCATTCGCAGTTGCATTGAATAAGTCTGCTGGGAGTTCGAATCAATAAATTTTTCATTTGAGCTAATTAAATTTATATGTTTTGTTATTAAATATTATGGCATCTCAACATCAACAAGAATGTGATAATGGCAATTGCCTTTCAGCGTGAGCTGCCAAATAGATGAATACAGATAAATGGATGTGCTCTCCATTAAAGTACAGCATAGACTGCATAAAGCGAACACATAGGATTTTCTAAGATTTACTAAAATTGACAACTTTTTGCGGAAATAGAGAAAAATATACTTAATAAATTTTTTAGAAATTAATTTAAATAAAAGCTATATAAACTAATGTCTAATTAATTAGTTTATTATTATTATTATTATTTTTGATTATTATTATTTTACTTATTTTTAGCAAGAAAATATGTTGCTTTGCCTATAAGTGGAATGTATTCTATCGCTTGTCGCCATTAGGCAGGCTCTACTGTGCTATATTTACTTTTCAAGTAATAAAATGTTATTTGTTACAGAAATGAACTCTTGGAATTCCTAGAATTTGTCTCGAAATTCTTAAGCGCTCACAAAAAATATTCGGCTATCCAAATATCCGGTCTAGTGAGTGCCCCAATAATATAGAGGCTGTGCTGGATCCTGTTTACTTTATAAGTATTGATGAAGAGACGACATTGATTATGTAATTGAAATATCTATACAGATATTATTTTACAAATTCCCAAAAACATCCATAGAGATAGAACGTTTAACTTACGCAGGGCAACAAAATTCAGCACTTTGTGAGAGGAACAAAAATGAGGAGTGAGAAACTCAATGAAGCTTTCAGTCCACTGGCCAAGTTAGCTATGCTACAAAGAGAAATCAGAAGCAGTCGAGCGGCATCAGAAGCAGAGGAAACAAATGCCAAACACACGAATGCTGAAAAATAAACAATAAACGATAAACGGCAAACGGATGCAGTGGCGCACAGCATCCGGCTGGCAGCAAGGTGGCAAAAAAAAAAAACGGGAAAAAAACAAGGCGAGGTCGAGAGGGGAATACACAGGAATATATGAATACGGGCGTACAGTCGGGCAGGCAGACAGGAAGAGCGCAGCAGGACAATAGCGCTTGGGTATGCTAAAAAGTTATTGGCGCAACAGCTGCTAAACATTTTTGAAAAACTCTCAAGTTCGAGTCCGGGAGCCAGAGGCGCTAAGGCGCTGCCACCCGCAGCACGAGTCAAAACAATTGAGGACAATCATCGACACACACACACACACACAGACACACAGACACATACGCACACACGCACAATGTAAGCTGTTAACAGAAGTAGAAAATGTAGAGTGGGATAGCTCACCTCTAATACGACGCCCTCGAGAGCGGGCTGTGAAATATTCTTTAGATTGCTGTGATTCAATTTGGGCGCACTGTCGGCACGATTGCGACCCAGTGATTGATTTGACGTTTTGTTATCGGCTTTGCTCAGTATCGAATGGTTGGAGGACTTGTGATTGATTTCGAGCGCCGAGCGCAATATATCCACCTTGGATGCGCTGTGACCAATATTCCCGTGCTTGGGCACGCCCCTAAGCGACTCCACGTTGTAGCTGCTCCGACGCACCGACAAATGGTCGTGTATATCCGCCTGTACAACAGCGGACAACAACAAAGACAAATTTCAATTAGAAAACTTTCGCCCGCTGTCGAACAATTAAGTCGTCCTCATTCTCGTCCTCGTCCTCGTCCTCGTCTATTTGACTCTTACCCGCGAGCCCCTTGGCAGCGATGACAGACTGCCAATTTGATTGTATTTGATCATGAGGCTTAGACGCTCCAGCGACATGGAAGTGCCCTGCTCTTTGGTCGCCGGCTCGGTCAGCTTTTCCGTTTCGCCCGCCTCCACAGTTTCAGCCTCCTCCTCGGACTCCTCGGCGGTGTGATCGAATTTGCGTAACCAAATCAAATGCAGCAGCCCATACGCGATGCCGCCAACAACAGCCAGCAGACCCATATACCGGAAGGCATCCCGAGTGCCGAACTGGCCAATCAGCAAACCGCCCGTAAAGCTGCCACTGCCGCGTCCTGCAAAAGGGCGAGAGTAAGAGAGAGTTATTGGCCTGCAGAGAGTGTTTTTTAGCGGAGCGATGAGATCAATGCTGCACTTGCCCAGGCTGAAGTGGGCCATGCCAAGGACGCCAATCAGGGTGGCCAGCAGGGTCTTCGGCGCCAGCAGGGAGCAGTAGGTGGCGGCTGCCACCCACATCAGATGGCAGGACAGCGACTCCATGGCCTCGAATGGAAAGCACCACCAGGCGTTTCTAGCAATAGAAAAGAAATACGATGTTGCCATCAAATTAGATTAGGCGCACATGTTTACACTCCACTCCACTCCACTCCACTCCACTTCAATCCACTCCATTCCATTCCATTCAACTCACTCGATAAAGGAATAGCCCACCAGGCGTCCGGCGTGCGAAAAGAACGCAATGATAATCAAATTAACGTGACCAAATATGCGTGTGATTTTCTCGGCTCCATACAGAAATGGTATGCTGCTCACAGTGCCCACAGTAATTGTAATGCCTGCGGATTGGAGGGGGTGAGGTAATGTATGAGCCATTAGCCATAGCGCTGGAACAGCTGCTGCTGGAGCCGCTGGAGCCGCTTACCTAACAAGTAATTGGGAGCGCCCAGCTCCTTGAGATACAAGAATAGAAAGCTTTCGATAAAGCCCCAGAAATTTCCGAGCACAAACAGAAATATTATGAATGCAATCACGTGCGGCATTTTCAATAGATTCCACAAATCCCGAAATACATTATCCGCCGGCAGCTTCTCGCCCAGCGGCATCATTAACACGGACATTGTTGATATCACCAGCAGCACATCGTACGTATAGAACGCGGCCGAGTAGTCCGTGTAGCCCAGGCCCCGCGACGAGTAGTCAATCATAATTCCCGTGATGGGCGAAAAGATGGCCATGCCAATGCTGGAAAACAAGCGTTCGCGCCCAAAGTCCCCGCCGAACTTCTCTATCATTGTGAGCGCAATGGGATCCATTATCGTAACGCCGGCTGACAGCATGGTCGTGGCTAAAAAGCTGAAAGAGAACACGTAATTAATTTCTGTTCGAGTCAATATAAACGGCCTGCGTGCTATGGTGTAATCCTAGCCTGAATTTTCGCTCTTTTACACAAATTTTCTTTGCTTTTGTAAATAAAAC